GGCCATGGGGAGAGGCTCAGGAGGTGCAGGCTGTGAGCGGCGCTTACCTCAAGCGGCTCCGGAAGCAGCAGCATGTCCCTTCTCTGGCTCTGCACGCTGCCCCGTCCGCAAGCACTGTCCCCACAGCTCCCATTGGCGTGCATAGGAGCTGGAGCGGAGCCATGCTGGGTCCAGGAGCCACGTGGTCTGGCCGCCAACGCAATGCCCCGGCCAGAGTGCTGGAGCGGAGTCGAGCCGTTGGTGCAACTCGCAGGCCAGCTTAAAACTGCTTGCGGGCCGGATTCGGCCTGCAGGCTGTAGTTTGCCCACCCCGGTCTACAATGACTCAAAGAATGAAAAATATCAATGAGGGAGAGGAAATATTTAGGGTGGCACTTGCGAAGCTAGATAACCACTGCAACAACTTACCCAGGGGTCTGGTGGATACTCCATCACTTGAAATCTTTAAATCAAGACTGCATATCCTTTTAAAAGATATGCTGTTGCTCAAACAGTTACGGGCTGGATTCAGGCATTACGGGGTTAAATTCTATGGCCTGTGATACACAGAAGGCCAGACGAGATGAGCTAATAATCCCTTCTGGCCTCAGACGTCTATGAAATCACAGACTGACATTAAGAATTTACAGTACCATAGACAGTAGAGGACAAGAGAATACATGTCTTAAATAAGATAATACATTTTTATTGTTTATCTTATGATGGCTCCTGGAGTCCCATTATAGTAATGATCTAATAAAAGACTGAATATCAGGCAAATTTTCCTGCCAACTAGATCTAGTTTTAGGCAGTGAATGCTAGGTCTCTGCATCACTGGGCCAGTAGTTTGCAGGACAGCCCCAGGATTCCCCTCCAATCATGTATTATTTTCAAACATTCTTTTGCCTTCATTCTGAGCTCCAACTGAAAATTTAAACTAAAAATAAAAAAACAGCTGTTATAAAACATGGGGGGGCTTCTCTGTTGTTCAACACAAGCTGCCCTCAAGGTTGGGAGGAACTCCCCAAAGCCACCTCTTTGTCTTCCTTCAAAACCCTCTTCAAAATTCTCCTTTGCCATGATGCTGACAAAAAGTGTGAGGCCAATGACATGCAGAGACCACTGCCTCTCTCACTAACCAATACTAGCTCACTGTTTCCTTGTGCTCCCAGTCTAACTGTATCCATCTGTTGCCTCTTGTCTTATACCAAGAATAGCTTGTAGACCCTTGGGGGCAGGGAATGTCTTTTTGTTCTGTGTTTGTACAGTGCCTAGCACACTGGGGTCCTGGCCCCTGACTGGGGCTCTTAGGTGACACAGGAATACAATACTGTAAATAAATATTAAAAGTCTAGGGTTACTTGAATGGCTAGAGAGAGGTTGGGGCTGTCTGACTGGCACAGTCTGAGATGTCTGGAGGAGGATTTATGGCTTTATGATCCCCCTTTTCCTAAGACTGGCCCCATTCCTGTGGTTGGTGCTGGGTGAACAGACGGCTGTACCTGTGCTGAGATCCACTGAAGTCAAAGAAGTCTGTCCACACAGATACGATGGCAGAATTGAGGCCTTGCTTTGTTGTTGTTATCCCAGGTAGAACAACATCCTGAGAGGACCAATATATGGCAGAACAAATGGGTGTGAAAAGAACAGGAGTACTTGTGGCACCTTAGAGACTAACAAATTTATTAAAGCATAAGCTTTCGTGGGCTACAGCCCACTTCTTCGGATGCATATATAGCCCACGAAAGCTTATGCTTTAATAAATTTGTTAGTCTCTAAGGTCCCACAAGTACTCCTGTTCTTTTTGCGGATACAGACTAACACGGCCGCTACTCTGAAATGGGTGTGAGTTAGTTAAGTTATTGGTATATGCTATTCTCAGCATTTCAACATATTTGGGGTTTCTGTGTATTTTTTATGTAGCTATAAAAAAAAATCCTCAATGTTTACAAGAAAATGTAATATTCCTAAATATGAGTTTGTCTATAAAGGCCTCATTGAGCAAATGAACTGTTTTTATCTCACATGGGATTATTTTTTGAGCTAAAAACAAGCAGGGAACATGCCACAAAGTAAATATTTATTGGAGGTCCTTAATGAGGTGATATTTTTATCTTCAAGCCTGCTGCCCGACTGTGACTTTGTCCTTTACTCAGAGCATCATAACAGGAGCACGTATGAAATTTAAAGAGAAATACAAGTTCTTTTGGGTTTGGGCTTGTTTTTAACTCTCTATTGTTCAGTCTCCTTTTAGAAGATTGAAAATAAAGGACCCAGTCCTCCATTCCTTCTTCAGGCACAATACCCAGAGAAGTACAGGGGACAGGATCATAGCTTGTTTTCAATGCTTTAAAAAACTCATTTTATTTTACTTCCTTGTGTGTGGCCTGGCATCCTGAGAGAGAGAAGCCAACCCCTTTGCAGTGGGGAATGTGAAGGTACCTCCTTGGAACATCATAACTGTAAACATGGCACACGTTGCACTTGGATGCATTTTAGATCCCAGGACAGGGTCTGGCTTAAGGATACTAACTGCTATGAAATCCATGGATCTCACTGTTATGCTGTGTCCACACACACACTTTCACTATTAGTTATTTTAAAATATCTTTGTTACTCAACAGGATTATCACCCATAGCCCCATGGGGGTTTCTGACCTAAATCAAGGCATTGTGAAAGCACAGGGCCTCCTGCCTCCTCATCCTGATCTTTTCTGGATTTCTCAAAATCGCCGAGTTTCAGTGGGGAAAACCCCTTCTGTCAGAGTGAGAGTGGCTGCCCCAAAAGGAAGGATCAGATAGCATTACCAAACCCCTACACTGGAGTAATCTACACAGAAGACAATGTGGACCTAAATTTCAGCTTAACTTTCAGATTCCAGGCTGTTTTCAGGGCCAGCAGTCAGGAAAAATACCTTTTTATTTCTGAGTTTCAGATATGGTACGGAGGATCTTAAGAGTCAAGCATGAAGCCCCATGGTATTGCTGATACTGAGGGTTTGTCTCCACTACCAGCTAAACTGGCACTGCTGCAATCGATGCAGCAGCGTCAATTCAGCGGGTCTGGTGAAGACGTGATAAGTCGATGGGAGAGTGCTCTCCTGTTGACTTCAGTACTCCACCTCCCTGAGAGGCCGAAGCTGTGTCAACAGGGGAGTGTCTCCCGCCGATATAGTGCGGTGTAGTCGATCTAAGTTACATCGACTTCAGTTACATAACTTAACTAGTGTAACTTAGATCAACTTACCTCATTAGTGTAGACAAGGCCTAAGTCCTCATTTAGAGTATAACTGCACTTTAGGATATGGTAGCTTTTCTTTATTTAGTAACAGATTTTTTTTAAGTGTACAGTAATGTCTCTCTCTTTGAGGAAATCATTTAAAAATATTAATGGTTCCCACCATTGTTGGTGTTCTGCTCCTGCTTTCTTCATAGTTTATTTTTTCTGCTAAAGGCCAAATGCCTCCTAAATGTTTAACTTTACCTTGGATTGGATTTCCTTTATTTATTTTCAGTGCAATGTTAGGTAATCGAGTCATGTTTCCACCCACATTTCTCTCATGTACGTATCTGTTATTTCCTGCTGTAACTGAAAAAATAAATGTACTGAAAATTCAGAGCTCTTCACTGAAGAGGTTACTGTCCCTTAGTCCCAGTCTATGTCGTTATATCAGATTCCTGCACTGTCGTAGGCTCTGACTGCCAGTCAGATGCTTCCTTTCACAAGGTGCAGTTTATTAAACAGGAAAGATTGTGTAATTTGTAACTAACGTTCCCTTTCCAACGGCATCTATATCATGTCCGACCTGGTATAAAGCTTTGTTTCAATGAGGAGTGTAAGAGTGCTCCTAAACTACAGGCCGACTTGACCAATTGTGGGTGTGTACCTCCATGGAACAGCTGCAAAATTATGGGGGATTCTTGGTGGCAGTTTTATAGGAGAGAGTTGATTCTGCATGGGGCAGTGTGTACCAAGTGCCACTTCGGATGGTGGTGAAAAACTTTCTATTTAAGAAAAAAGCTTAATGTCAACTCTATTTTCTTGTTCACTTCTCTTTCTAGCCTGTTTTATGCATTTCTCTTGCAGCTTTATATTTTTACCTCACACTGCACTATTTTCTAGCATATTTTAATTCTTTAAATCTCTTTGTCTGTTTTTTTTCTAATATCTTTTAACCACTGCGCTCCCCAAGATGACTCCTCACACCTCAGGATCAATGCTACTGAACCCAGCCTTCGGCCCGACACTTAGTTCTTCCGTCATTGCAGAGCAGCAGGCCAGGCCATTCACACCCAACTGCAACATCAAAGGAAAGTCAAAGTGACTCCTGAGTCAGCACTGACAGCAGGTGGGGAAGTGAGTGGGCTTCAGCCTTTTTCTTGGGGGGGAACACGGGACCTTGATATTATTGTCAATGTTAGGTGTAAAATCCTGGCCCCATTGAAGCCCATGGCAAAGCCTCCATAGGGCCAGTATTTCACTCCAAGAGTTTACACTCTTGTGTGTTCCAGCATCACTACTCCATGTGCAAATTATTGTGAGACATTCTCTTAGAGACTGATGCGCAACACATCTCTGTTCCGGGAGGCTTGTCTGAACGGAGCTAGGTCCTTACATGAAAAGTAGAATCATGCCACAAAGTTACAGAAACCTTTATGCATGTTAATTAAGGAATCTCAGGTTTTCAGAGGTGTAGATTTTAAGCCCACAAGGGACCGTTATGATCATCTAGTCTGACCACCTGCATAATATGGACCCATAGAGCCTCACCGCAGCAACTTCTGCATCAAGCCCATAACTTCCTACTGAGCTAGCACTTATCTCCCAGAAAGACATCCTGTCTTCATTCCAGCCTTCCTTCTCTACCTGCCTTTGTTGTGCTCTGTGCCAGGGGAACAGCTCTGACCTGACAAGAAACTCGGCCTGTGAAGAAGACCATGGCAGCGGTGGCCCCATAATCCCCACACTTGGCTTGTGCCACCCTTGCGAGTGTAGCAAAGTAAATAAGGGCTCTAGTCACCTGTAAGACCAGGGGGAGACGCTGTGCAGGTTGATAGGGAGGCGGTACTTTTTCTCACTGGCTGCTCTGCCCCCTGCCGGACAGCTCACGTTATGGTCTTTCTCCAGCGGTTCCAGCTGCAGGGTGTGGTGGAAGGCGCTGAGCATGCCCGCGGTGAGCCTCCCATACAGCTGTTCCAGCAGCTCCTCCGGCCGATCGGCGCAGGTTCGAGTCCGCACCGGGCGCCTGTTCACCTTGAAGGCCTCGGATGTGGGGTGACCCAGCCCAGCGAGGAGAAGAGCTGCCAGCAGCACCCAGCCCTATAACAACACAGCGAGAAACGACGCTTCCTCGTGGGCTGCTGCCTCCTTCCTGCCCTGCCCGCCAGGCCGCGCGTTCCTATGGCCCCTGCCCAGCGGCCGCCCCTGTAATCCCCGGGGCCGGCGCCGGGCGATTCGTGGGAGTTGGGGGCACGTCTCTGTCCCCGAATCCAGCGCCCCCCTCCCTCCTAGGGGACCCCCCACTGCACAGCGCTCTCCGCCCCCCTGGCACCGACCGAGAGCGCAGCTCCGCTGCCTCCAAATCCCCCTGTCGGTTTCAGCTCATTCCAGCCCTTTGGAAACGCATCTGATCTGTAGCGCTGCAGCTTTTACTGCCCCCCCCCCCGTAACTCTGGCTCTGAATCAGCCCGCGCCAAACGGGAACGAGCCCCAAGGCATCAGCTGGCAAAAGAGAGTGTGTGTGTGTGTGTGTGTCGGGGGGGGGCGTTGATCGCAAGACAGAACCACAAGTGTCTGCCCGATCGTCTGCTTCCCCTGGCACCGTATAACGGAGCCGACCCGTTGCCCTCCCCCCGCCCTTACCTGGCCTTGCTGCATGGTGGGACTGGGCTCAGGCGAGCCTGGCCGCGGGAGCTCGCCGATGACAGCGCCGGGGTGTTAGAGACCCGGACTCGCTCGGTGGAGGAGCTGGAGCGAATGTTGGACAAGTGCCCCGCGGCTCGCTGCAGCGCCCCGGGTGCCAAGAACATTTTAGACGCTCACAGCGGAGGCTAATTTTCAAAGCCTCGAGCTCGCCTGTCCCGGCGTATGGGGAGGAGTGGGGAGGGTCAATGAGCCCGTGTCCGAATATGGCAAGCACCCAAGGACGCTGCGCTGAGCAGTGCCAGGCGAAGGGAACAGCTGGGTCTACCTGGATCCTGCCAGATGCTGCCCGTGTCAAAAGCCAAGCCCCTAAATTGTACCGTCAAAATAGAGACCCGGCTTAATTGCCCCCGATGCTCCCAAACCCGCGCCCCGCTGCATCCGGAGCATAAGCCCTGCAAAAACCCGGATCCGGCACCTGGAGCTGCTGGATGCCGCCATATTTTGGGCCCTAACCTGCAAATTCTAATGCTTGACTAGGGAACATGTCCAGCTGCTCCTACTGCACTTAGTAGTTTGGAACAGGCGCGAGCACCACAAAAAAAATCAGTGATTGCCCCTGGATCCAGATGGATTTGGCGCTTTTGGGCCCCAAATCACAATCTGTACAATCATGGACATGGAAAACAAACCGAGCCACTCTTACTTCACCTGGGCGCGGCTGCATCATGGTGCTCTGCACATGCACCGCATGGCTCCTGCTGATTCTAGCATTCAATTGAAACGTGTTTAAAATTAATCTGAACGATGTCTCAGGCCCCACACTGCTTTGAAAAGTTCACTCAAGAGCCAACTACTGTAGCTACCACACATAGTGTGATCAGTCCCTCTGCAAAATATGTGTGCGAGGGTTTGCAATTTAGCTGTATCTAGAAAGATCAAGATAGGAACTCTGGGCTGCTATAGCTTCCCTGGATCACAGTAGCTTGGAATAGAGTCCTTTAATATACAAGATCCGGGTCTAACCAGAAGGTAACACTTTGTGGGCCTAAATGGAAAAATAGGTACAGCTCTCCTGGATCCAGGCCCGTATGTGGGCTTTTCAAGTGTGGCAGAAGGCTCATTTCATATGGGACCAGGAGCCGCTGGGCTTGGTCTCTATGTAGTAGAATTTAGAGGTTTATGGCCCCAAAAATTCTGCATTTGGCATGGTCCAGGGGTACCATATGTTTCTGCATTGCTCTTGTATGGGGTTGTGCCAGAACCTGTGCTTTCTGTTATCTATTTTGATGGTAAAGTTTGGGGGCATTGGTGCCCCAAAATAGTAGGACCCAGCAGGATCCTGGTGCTGGCTATGTATCTTTGCAGAACCACTGAAGAGGGGTGCATGGGGGGGGGGGTCTGGATTTTTTTCCCAATAAATTTGGAGCAATTGCACTTCTCTATGTAAGTGGGATTGGAACCTGTAAAACTAGCTGGCTGTAGGCAGCAGATCTATCTTGTGTTTGTTGTGGTGCTGTACCACTTTGCTGAACGGTCTGGATTTTTGGTACACTAAGGGCTGCTTCATTTTTCTTGCATTTAGCCTGTAGAATTGGGGGATGGAAGGTTGAAAGTTTGGCAGGATATGTACAGTATCCAAGGGAGGAGGGATAGCTCAGTGGTTTGAGCATTGGCCTGCTAAACCCAGGGTTGTGAGTTCAATCCTTGAGGGGGTCACTTAGGGATCTGGGTCACAATCAGTACTTGGTCCTTCTTGTGAAGGCAGGGGGCTGGACTCAAAGACCTTTTGGGGTCCCTTCCAGCTCTATGAGAGAGGTATAATTGTCCATGTTTTACCATTCCTGTTGGGCTGGGAGGCATCAGCATCCAGATTTTCCTAGTGAAGCAGAAGTGGCTATGTTCACTTTCTATCTATTTTGCCTTGGGACCCAAAATTGCCCAACTGGGGTTTTGCAGTGCACATGCTCTAAATTCCAGAATATATATGTGCACTAGGAGCAGCCAGGCTAATTCTCTATTTAGACATTTGAATTTGGGGGCTTGAGGCTGAAAATGTGGCTGGATCTAGGTTTTTGTAACCCTCCTGCACTAGCCTCCATTGAGGTCAGGATTGTTTTGGTGCAGAGCCATTTAGAATTGCTCTTTATTTGGATGGTATAATTTGGGAAGTTGGGCCAAAGAATGGCAGGATTCAGACAGATCCAGCTTTTATCTTTTCCCAAAAAGATTATCAGAAAAGCACTTTGGAATTGCTTTCAGTCTACATTCATATGGGAGAAATGAAAGGAACAGTTAGTTTATACACATGAAGCTCTACAGGTCAGAATAGAAAGATTGTGTCACTGCTGCCTTCAGAGTATGGATGGTGGAGATTCTAAGCAATGAGTACAAGCCTGATTGCAAATGGCTGAAATAATTCTTAGCGACCATAGACTAGGATCAGCACTTCAGAGCCAAACACCTTAGAACGGGATCTGAGCTTTGCTGCTTGCCCTTGCCTTTAATGATTGTAACAAACCCTGGATCTATTCTAGAGGCGTTTTATACCACACTCATGACTGTAGTCTCCTGCACAGACAAGATTTACCCTTATTGGAGGGAGTTCCCTTGTGCCGGAGGAGTGAAGTTGTTACCACAGTCTTCATCCTGGAGCTTTAGCTGATCTTTTAGATGCCATGGAGCCTCTTTTAGACAAGGACTGAGACTTTAACTTGATCTGTGGGAAGCCAGTGTAGAGAGCAGAGGACAGGTTTGGCAACAGGTCATACCTCAATGTGGCTGAGAGGAAGTGCTGCAGTGTTCAATATTACTTGACATTTCCTCACTGCTGAAGGTTTCATGGCCAGGTATATTGCATTGCTGTAATCCGGCTGAGAGGTGACTAAGGCTTGAATAACTGAGGCCAGTTCATTGTCCACCAGGCTGGGACAGAGTCTCTTTGCTAACCAGAGACAATAGAAAGCATTGCTTCCAGATGCTGCTATGTGAAAGTTTAGTTTCAATGAGGCATGTAAGAGTGCTCCTAAACTACAGGCTGACTTGACCAATTGTGGAGGTGTACCTGCAACCAAAGAAGACTGTCTCATAGTTGCAAATCTTCAAAATACTTTCCTCTGACCACCAGCATCACCACTATCTTTCTCAGGTTCCACTTCAGCCAGCTGTTCTTTACTGATGAGCAGATCCCATCCAAGCACTGGGCCTTCTTGGTGGCAGTGGTTTGTCTGTATGTACTGAAGGCGCTGTGGGTCATCTGCACACACTTTGGGAAATTTCAGATGTAGATCCAAATTATGTCGCTCAGGACCACAACTGTTAATTAAAGGCCCAATCTTCTGGTCTTTATTCAATCAAAATTCCCATTGAATTCTCTTGTAACTTTGCAGCTAATGAAAGCTTTGCTTGAGTGTGGAGATTTGTCACTGTACCTAGCTCTTTCACCCCTATTTATTAATAAGAGCTCATGTTTCAAGAGAGTGAACAATAAAGTGTATCGATATGTTTAATATGTACTAGTGTAGTTTGACTTCAGTGGGCCTTGGATGAGGCCCACAATAGCAGCTGCATTGCATGCCTAGTTTTCTACATCATGAGAGGGACAGAGAAATGCAAAATTCTGACCTGACCATTGTGTAATGGCCCCATGTATGAGCAAGATGCTAAGCTACTGGTGCAGTGCGTGCTCTAGGCAAGGCTTCCAATCCCTTCTGATGCTGCAGGTCCAGGACTGCAGGAATTGCTGATGGAGGCAGCTGAGGCCCCAGAGTTACTTCCTTTGTCATGTCCCAAACTTCAAAAATTTGAAACAGGTTTATATTTAATGAAAACTATTATGGCTGGATGGAACCCATATGAGGCAGCTAGGCTTAGATCGTCAACAGCTAACTATCTTTGAGGATCTCTGGACCCTAATTCCTGGCCATGCAGCTGTCTTTGATGCAGGGTTCTACCCCAAAGACTTCTCCAATAGATGATCCATCAGCCAAGGGTTGATGATGTCAAGTGATTTGATTCTATCTCTTGGGTTTGGAAGTTGGTTCAAGTGCCTGGTTGATTTTGTGGTTAATATAAATCCGTCACTTGTGGTTATCAATGTCAAATAATTAAGGCAATGTTTATGTCACAGAGGTCATGGAAGTCATGGATTTTGTGACTTCCAGAGAGCTCCCTATAGTCTCTGCTTCAGCCCTAGGGGCTGCAGGACTCTGGAGCAGACAGCCAGCGGGGCCCTGGCAGGGTTCCAGCAACAGGTGACAGCAGTGACAAACGACAAGGGGCCCCCTGCAAAGTTCCAGTGATAGATGACAGACTCTTGAGGGGCCCTCCTCAGGGTTCCAGCGACGGGCAACAATCTCGTGTGGGGACAGGGGGACGCCTTGGGTGAGCGGCTGGGGTGTCCCGTTTTCTCTTTGGGAAATATGGTCACCCTGTAAATATCTCCATATCAGACTTGTTCGGTTCACAAGTAAAATGATGTTTTTTCTGTCAGTTCTGCACACAACCTGGGATCTGAAAATCAAGCTCAGTTCTCAATAACTAATATTCTGCAACTGAAATCGAGTTACCAATTCTGTTGATGATGCACATGCTAGAATAAAATCCAGCGCCCTCTGACCACACACTGGGCTAACAGAAGTAAAAAGACAAAAATATGATACTTTGCTTTTAAACACCCATGGGCTGACCTCGAGTGAGGAAGGTGCCAATTTTGAAGTCTGAGTGTAGCCGCATTTTGTCTCAGATTCAGCAAATCATTTAAGCCTGATCTTAAGTATGTGCTTAAATCTCATTCAATTAAGCATTTGCTTATGTGCTTTGCTGAATTGGGCCTTGAAGATGACAGTGTAATGTGTGACACCATTAAAGTAAATCAGTTCATATTGATTATGAAATAAATTCTGCTCTCTCATTAGGCCTGTGAAATTCCCATCCTTCTTGCATGACCTTTGAGGTATTTGGGGTTGAAAGATACTATAAAAATGTAAACCACTCAAGAGACATCTATGCTTGATACTGTTACAATGTGTAAAATCTGTGCAAACAAAAGCTTTCTAAATTTGCTACAATTCACAACCAGTTTGTTAGAAAAGTGCCTGAGCACTGCTTATATGCACGATCAAAACAAAAAACTCTTTTTACTGTTTTTATTGATTATAATAGAAATTCTTGACTCCAAATTCAATTATATATATATACACACACATTACCATAAATACACCATAAATTTTTCTCAAACATTTTAT